CCTGCTGAAACTCTAGGATTTGAAAGGGAGGGGACAGAGCCTCAGTCTAATTTGAAATCTGATCTCTTCTGTGGCTGAAAACTTTAAACTTCAATTTATTAGGCTGGAGAGGAGTTTTAGGCAAACCTGTAAGGAAATGGTATTTCATATGTATTGTTTCTGAAAGAATAGATCACATGGAAAGAGAATTGGTTTTACAGCTGCATTTGATTTGGTAAAATAACTAGGAGGGAGAAATACAAGGCTCGTTGAGAACCTACATAACATGTTTAGCTATAAAAGAGTTTGCCCAAATATTATTTGCCAGTCCAAGGCTAGTTAGGTGCTGTGTCCCACAGTAATTACTTTGTTACTTAGGACCTGTTCCAATTAACCTAGCTGTTTGCGCTACAAATCCATCTGCAGGTATAAAGATTGACTTACTATTATGGGGTTGGTTTTTTGTTTTTTTTGTTTTGTTTCCTTTTCTTGAAATAGGCAAGTGGCACATTATCCAATTAGTACGTGTTCAAGGGGCTTTTCTGTCCTTTTTACACTCCAGATCTGTGTGTTATGTACATACACGGGGCGTACTACATGTCACCTTTTCTGTTAAGCCATATAGAGAGCATAATTCACAATCTGCAGAGACAGTTTCAGCTAATATTTATCAGGTAATGTGTTCTGTGGATCTCTCTCTCTCTCCTTTGGAAGGCTTGGCTCTGTTTTTCCTGGGCAGTATTTTAAAACGCACCTCACCTTTTCAATATACTTCCTACTCCTCTTGCCCAAGATCACCACATTAAAAAAAAAAAAAAAAAAAAAAAAAAAATGGTGTAGATGTTTAGCTTTGTTTAAGGAAAGGAGGAAATTGTAAATGGAAATTGGACTTTGAAAGGATGTTAAAACAAACACTTCACTCTGAGCACTAGGATTTTGCACAGCATGAGTGAATGATTCAAATACCATATTATGGAACGACTGAGTTCATTCGGATTTGCAAATGAAGCTACATCCCGATTGTAGTCCTCAACTGGGCAAATCTTCCATTGACTCCAAAGGGAGTTTTACCCCATCATTGCAGTATAAATCAGACCCTAAGACTTGGACCTCTAATCAGAGTGTGCGGGTTCCACTTACTTACCAAAGTCATTTTTGCAGAGGTTTTCCACAATGTCATTGTCATCCTCACTTTTGTTTTTGCAGGCATCACATACCTTTGGTACTGGAAATATAAGAAATAAGCTTTTTCAGATTTGATTAAAAGAGAACAGCAGGTGGCGTTTCAGAACACAGAAGTGTATTGAGGTCTTTTTCTACCAACTAATATGCGCCTATTAAAAACAAAACAAAAAAGCCCCACACAGCTAGCCATTACTTCTGACTTAACCTGAAGTTCTTAAATGAGACCAGAACTGAGCATGCAGAGATATTCTTTAAAATATAGCTAAAGAAACTTTTAAAATTATGAGCGAGGTTTTCATTTAAACCATGAAGGAATCATGCATTTATACAGGGGATGTAAAGTGTGTGTGCGCACGCACGCTATCTTAAATTTGGAAATACCACAGGTCAGATCATGGATTAAAGTACTTTTTCCTTTTGCAAAGGAATGAGAAGACATGTGAAATAGGAGTGAAAGCAGCAAAGTACAATTACAAAAGCAACTATGTTGTAATTAAATGTTATAGGAATAAAGCCTTTCTAGGCCGAGTTGATTTTGTTTACTCTTTGGGTTAAGGCAAATGTTTTAAGATGCAAAACATTTCCAATGAATTAACCCTCTCATCTAAAGAGGACTGGAAAAACCACACAGCATCATCCTAAACTTAACTATTAATTGCAGGTCCTCTTACAAAGAAAAAGGAGACTGAAGAGGGGTTTCTCCTGAAAGCCCTACAAGGGGTGAGCGAAGAAGTCCCTCTTTCCCTCCCAGGGGGAGCACAAATCAAGGCAAGCACACTGTTTTTGTTTTGGGATAGAAATATCAAAAGCGCACAAGGTTTCCATTCTCTCTAGAGTGACTTCCCCCACCCCCCCTTTACCTCCCTCGGTAAAGTCTTGGTTTATTGCATGATCTTCTCCTGCTAATGAAAAACAGACCCAAAATAGATGCTGATGCTGGCTAGACCTGGAAGATGCCTCCCTGAAGTAGTTCTAAAAAAAAAAATACTGTGGAGTTATGTGCTTTCCCTGCGTTTCTTCATCAGCAAGCCAGCTTCTCCTCAAAGGTCCTGCTACTTTTCAGTTCTCTCTAGCAACCCTATCAAAGAAATATTGGTTTTTTGTTTTTTGTTTTGTTTTTTTTTTTTGCGCGGGGGTGGGGGGGGAGCTGCATCAGGGTGCTTGCTCCTACTGGAAACAACAGGGGCGATCACCCTGGTGTAGTGCTGTGAAGGATTTCGCACTCTAGCAACCCTATAAAAAAAAAAAAAGGTATTGTTTTTTCTTGGGAGAGTTGCACCAGGGCGATTTCCCCCACTGGAAACAAGGAGGGGGGAAATCACCCTGGTGTAGCTCTCCAAAGGATTTCACTCTAGCAACCCTATAAAAAAGTATTTTTGGGGGGGGGGGGGGAGAAGAGGCGTGGAGAGCAGCACTAGGGTGATTTCCCCCACTGGAAACAACAAGGGAAATCGCCCAGGTGAAGCTCTCCCAAAGGATTTCACACTCTAGCAACTCTATTAAAAAAAAAAATCATTTGTTCTTGGGAGAGCTGCACCAGGCAGATTCCCCGCGCTGGAAGCAAGGGGGGCATCACCCCGGTGCAGCGCCCCGCAGGCTTTCACCCGGGTTAAAGGCGTGGCCGGCAAAGGGCGGATCGGTGGCATGCGGGCAGATGTCCAAGCTGCTGGCGGGGGCTCGGCTGTCTTACCTTCGCGGGTGGCGGGGAGGATGTGGTCGCTGCTGCCCAGGGGGATGCACAGGTCGTTGTCGGGGGGGAAGCGGGTGCAGTCCAGCATGTCGGGCCAGGGGAAGCCGAAGGCGGACATGACCGGGGCGCAGCTGTCCTTCACCTTCTCGCACAGCGAGCGGCAGGGCTGGATGATCTCGTCCAGGTCGTCGATGCAGACGGGCGCGAAGAGCGAGCACAGGAACTTGCGCGTGTCGGAGTGGCACTGCTTCTGCACCAGCGGGATCCACGTGCTCGCCTGCTCCAGCACCTCCTGCAGGCTCTCGTGCCCCAGCAGGTTGGGCAGCCGCATGTTCTGGTACTCGATGCCGCGGCAGAGCAGCAGGGAGGAGGGGATGGGCTTGCAGTTGGAGCGCTTGTAGGAGAAGTCGGGCTCCTCGAAGGGGAAGAGCCCCGCGCCCGGCGCCACGCACTGCGAGGCGAGGAAGAGCAGGACCAGGGCGCGGTGTCCCTGCTGCATCTCGGGTGCCTCGCGCTCGGGACCGAGGAGGGGGCGGCAAAAAAAAAAAGGAGGAGGAGGAGGAGGAGGAGGAAAGCTCTCCTAAGCGAGCCCCGGGGTTTGAGAAGGAGCACGGGGGAGACCGGGGACGCTCCCAGCGCCCGCTGCCCGCATGCAAGAGGCCGGGCTCTGCCGGGGCACCGGGTGCTGCGCGAGCGGGAGTCGCCGGGTGCTTTTATGCAAATACGGGGGAGGCGGGGAGGAGCCTCCTGCGCGCCAGCCGGCAAGGATTGGTCACTGCGCGCCTGCCTGCTTTTCCTTCAGGGGATTCACTCTCTCGCTTGCTTCCCCCCCGCCTTGGCAGGCGGGCCTTAAAAGAAGTGGGAAGGGGGGGAGTGTCTGAACAAAGAGCTGCAAACGGCTTAGTTGCTCCTTGGAGCAGGTGGAGGCTTGAAGGTGAGCTTCGTTGCAACTAGGCAGAGCCTTTCCCTTGGGCACATGGGGATGCTCCGCTGCGTTGCCATTGCAGCTCGCTGTGCCTGGACCGGATGGGACGGGACGGGACGGGAGGGGACGCCATGCCCCGCTCCCCAGCTCAAAGCATCAGGAGAAAGTTTTCCTCGCAGAGCCGGGCCCCGCTGGCATCTCTCGCCAGGACCTGCTCCTCATCCATGCAGATCCTTGGTGAGGAGCTCATTCTTCAAACTAGCTCCGCTCCGTACCTGGCTTCCCAAGCACTTCAGCATAAGGGACTCGTTCCCCAGCTCCCCCCTCCCATTTGCTGGCTTTCAAAAGGACTCTTTGGAGGTCCAGGTATCTGCATCTATTTTTAAACAAACAAACAAACAAACAAAAACTGTTTCGAGGGTCGCTCTTCCAGTGCCGGTTCCCATAAAGAAAATCAGCTCTTTATGAGCTGTATGCATATACTGTATGGAGCAGCTTATAGCAGCATGAGCATGTCACAGTGGCTGGGAGAAAAAAACCAAAAGGTGATTTTTTTTTTCTTGCATTCTTACCCACAGCCAGGTAAAAAACAGCCCTCACTCGCAGTTTGATGCTGCTGAATTAACTGGCTCCAGACCAGGTCCCATCTCCTTTTCATGGCATGAGCCAGTCTGTTCTCATTAGTGTCACAATGAAGGCTTTCACATGCTAATGTATCCTGCATGGGACTGATTGGTTATTGTTTCTACTTTTGGAGCCAGGAGAGTGCAGAGCTTGTGCACACCTCACGTGTACAGTGCATATATTTTGCAGGATTGGGAAAATCAAGGAAGAGTGGCTCAGCAGTATTTGGGGTGGGGGGGCACTACTAAGTGGATGACATCCATCCTTGCCACCTAATAAGGGGGAAAAAAAACAACCCCCTTTCCAACAGGTAGTGAGGGCAGAAGGAAAAGAATAGAGTGAACAAAGGGGATCTATAAACCAAGAGTGATCAACCTGGGAGAAATCCCTTTGGAATGTGGTGGATGTAGATTAAAGTCATGTCAGCGCAAGGGCCCTGTTACCCCTTACGTGGTGGTCTCCACAAACATTGCTCTGTGTCAGTACTAGCTTGAGTTTGGAGCAGTCATGCCTTAAGGCTAAAAACTAGGTAGGGCTGTGCAAAATTTCGATGGGTGTTTCGTTTTGAAGCTGTTTTGATGCGTTTTGAGCTCGGGACAGCAAAATTGAAATGAAACAAAGGCTTTCAAACAGCTTCGAAACAAAACGAGGGCACTCAAAATGTTTCAAAAGTTTTGAAATGTTTTGAGCCGGGCTTGCTGCAGCTAAACAGAAACTAAGGAGAGAGAGGAGGAAGAGGGGGGAAGGACTGCTCTCTGATATTGATATCTAGCTCCTTGTTTGATTCCCCAGCTCTCTGATCGCTTCCCCTAGCTCTCTGATAATTTCTCTGATCATTTCCCCAGCTCTTTCCAAAGCAAACTGAAGGCCTAGGGAAGATGCTACACAGCATTTCTGGCAGCTCAGTACCCTACAAAATGTCTTGTTCAGTGCCTGTCCATTAGAGCCGACAGAATTTGGAAAGAAAGGAGTTCATGTCCACCTTTCCCCGTCCTACTACCCCACCCAGTGCAGGCTGAGAAATCTAACAGCAGAACATTAACTTTCCCAAGGCACTGCCTCTAGATAAGATGGACTGATCCCAGATTAACCTGGGACATTCTCACCCCAGCAGGTTGTCACATACCTGTTATCAGTACCTTGGAGAGACTTTTTCTAAACAGTGGAGATAAAGCAGTGGTTAAGACAGGCAGGGCATGTGCATGTGTCACTCACTCGACTCTTGTTGGCTTCAAAGGCAGAAGGCTCCAGTTTGCTCTAGTTGCCCTCACCTGTCACCAGTAGGTAGTGCTGGGGGAGAAAGTTGTGCCCCCTTCCACTCTGTAGAGGAAGAGAATGAAATGCTCCTTCGATGTGGAGGAAGTTGGACCCATTGGCTGCATCCCCACAAGCAGGGAAG